TCCCCGCGGCGCCCCGGCTCTAGAAAGGGCTGCGCGCTCAGTTCTTATTCCCTCTGCCATCTGATTTCTCTCTTCTTACCCACCTCTCGCCACCCCACTCCAGCTCCCCTGACTCTAGCTCTTCTCTCAAGGAATCCCCTTCTTGTATCTCTCTTTTCTCCTCCCACCAGCTCTGGAGCTCCCGAGTTCCCCTCGTCCTGACACCCACCTCCCATGGGGCGACCACTTCGCTCGCTGGATGACATCTCCGTGTCACCCTGCTTCGCGTGAGTAGGACTGTTCCCCTGGCTCTTAACTTAAGCGCTGGCGCACAGTAGGCGCACAGGCACCGCCAAATAAGTGAATGAAGAAACGAGTGAGTAAATACGGCTTAGACACACGCTACTGTCTGAAACACCGAAATCACAAGGCTTGACTAGATCCTGGAATTCTAACCACAAGTACTGCTGTGCCAACTCCTGTGCCCACTCCTGTGCGGTGCTCCGCAGAAGCGACCCAGAAGGGAGGTAGCATTGTCATGGGAGGACCGAGGGTCTGGAGTCCGGGCCTGCCTTCTGTGTCTGTGCTACCTAATTCGTGACTCAGGGCAAGTCGGGCACCTCTCTAAACCCCCTTTCCTAATCCTAAAAGAAGGACGATGATAATAAGACTGATCTCACAGGGCTGTTGTGAAGCTTCGATGAGATAATGTATGCGAAGTTCAAACTCTACACTTGATGGCAGATGTTAAGAGAAAAGAACTCTGGATGGAGAGCCTGTGGCTCTAAGTCCGGGTTGAAATGCCCCAGCGCGCAGGGACTGGGTTCACAGGCGCCTTGTGCGCAACATGCACTCCCGAACCCGCCCCGCGGCTAAAACCCGGCAAATGGATGGAGAGACGCAACTTCTCTGTCTTTAAGTCCCAATTTTCATCTCTAAAGTCCCTGATAATTTTCATCCGAGAACGGGCTCTCCGCCTAAAATAAAAAGCTAATTTTCCTCTCCCTTCCAGCCAGGATCCAGAAGCAGTACCGTAGGCCTCCGCCTGCTGCTCTTCTGGGTCCGGGCTGACCATCCCAGGGCGCCGGGCACGGCGCAGAGCGAGCTGGAGAGTGGGTGCTTTGCAGCCAGAGAGCATCCTGGAACCCGAGGTGGAGCGGTGGGGCTGGCTGGCGCCGGGGCCGAGCAGGGTGGGGTGGGGCAGGTTTGCGGAGAGAATGTGTCCGCGGTCTAGGCGGGCTTCCCTACCCCGGGAGGCCTAGGCCATTTCCCGTGTTGGACCCCTCTGCCAGAAATTCCTTTAGAAAAATCCCAGGCCGGAATGCTCTGGGAACGGCGGGGAGCTAGGGCCGCGCCCGTCCGGGGAAGGGCAGCTCTTTAGGGAACGGAAGGGTAAGGGGTGGAGAGGGATCCCGGCAGGGGCACTCGCGCTGCAGCGGAGGACCCCAGGAAGAATTTGGCTCCGACTTTTTCTAACCCCACCGCCCTCCAGGGCGGAGACAGTGCTCCACCACAGGGTCAGAGGCCCCTAGGGGACAGCGCCCTCTTGCCGCCGTGGGCATCCCCACTCCGGCGCCAGCCTCTGGCGCCCTCCCAGCGCGGCTCCTGAGCAAAACCCGCACGCAGTGGGGCCGCGCCCGGCACCAGGTTAGGAAGATACGCAGACCCCGGGCAGAGCAGCGCAGGCAAGTTGGATTCCATACATAGACCAAAGGCAAAAACGGAGAAAACAGCGGGGGCGGGGGCAGAGACAATCCCTGTCGTGATTGTTGTTTCCAACCGTTTAATTTCTTGCATTTCCTCCGGGGAAAGCGCTTGAACCTGGGTTTTCCAGGACCCCGGCGTTAGCAGCGCCGTTGCTGGTACCGGCGCGTCCTGGCTAGTGTGAGCTGTCTGCGTGCCGGAACCGGGCTCTTTCACTGGTTCCATTCCTTCTTTTCTGCATTAATTTGCACCCGTGCGTTAATGTACTTGGGCAACTTTATGCGAGCGTGCCCCGGTGCGGGCGGCGCTAAGGGAGGGATTCGAGGTCAAATGTGACTCTGACGCCTCTGATCACTGCAACCTTCAGACCGTCAATCCTCCGGAGCCGTGGCTGGCGCTTTCCAAGGCATCCCCGACGCCTGCTCCGGCCAGCGCTGGGCCCAGGACCGGCGCGGCCCGTTAGTTGTTGGTCCAAAGGCTCATCTGTCGAGGCTCGGCGGCGTGGTGAACCCGCAGGCAGCCGAACCAAGAAGGGCAAGACTTAAGGGCTGTGGTGCAGGGTCCTCCGGGTGCTTGGACCCGCAGCGGGATGGGATGGGGGTCCCCGCAGGCAGGGAGAGCAGTCAGGGTGACGGGTCTGCGCGTGACGATTAGGGGCACAGTGAACACCCCGCGTGCAACGGACCTGTCTGGCACACAGACCTGAGCCTTACTGTTCCGGTGTGAATTGCTTAAACTATGCTCTCTGCTCCTCTTAAATGAGTTTTTCTTTCCCTCTTCCTTGCTTTCTTGCTTCTCTCCTTCCTTTCTTCTCTCCTCACCCAACCCCCTATCCCTCTCTTTCCTCTCTTTTCTCTTCCTCCTTCCTTTCTCTTTTTCTCCCATCCCTCCCACCTTTTTCTTTGGCTCTTTCTTTCTTTCTTTCTTTCTTTCTTTCTTTCTTTCTTTCTTTCTTTCTTTCTCTTTATTCCTTTTCTTCCTTTCCTTTCTTTCCAAATATCGGTTTCCAGGAATACAGGACCTGAAGTCAGAAACCCCGGGTGCAAGTTGCATTTACCAGATCTCAGCCTCAGTTTCTTCGCTTGTAAATGGGGGTAATATAGGATGGCTGATATAGTATTTGTGAAAGCAGCTCGTATATTTAAAGAACTGTGAAATGGTATAAAATAATGAATGGTTGAAATTTTAAATAAAATTGACAGCCAGGCCTCCAAAACTTTCCCCTTGAGGAGCTTTCCTTATTCTATTCCAAACTGAAGAATTTTGGTGACGCTGGGGCTCCAGAACTTGGGGCCAGAACAAGTTCTGGGCTGGCAGTGACTCAGCTGGTGGCCCTCGTCTTTGCACGGTTTTGTGTATGTGTTTTGCTGGTGCTTTTTGTCCCTCACAGCAGGCTGCAGGTGAAAATTATCACCACCATCTTCTTTGCTCACACTAACTTGTCCATACTTTATTGACAGTCTTTGCAAAGGTCATTCTCTGGCTCATCGGAGCCTCTACACCAGGGGTCCTCAAACTACAGCCCCGCGGGCCACATGCAAATACAAATATTGTATTTGTTCCCATTTTGTTTTTTTACTTCAAAATAAGATATGTGCAGTGTGCATAGGAATTTGTTCATAGTTATTTTTTAAACTATAGTCCGACTCTCCAACGGTCTGAGGGACAGTGAACTGGCCCCCTGTTTAAAAAGTTTGAGGACCCCTGCTCTACACAGCCCTCTGCAAAGTAGGCAGCCCAAGTTTTAGTGTTAAGCTGTTTTCCAGTGAAGGTGAGGCTGCAGCATGCAAGTGGCAGCGCAGAGACCTGAACATACATCTCTATCCCTCATGCCTTTGCTTCTGGCTTCCAGGGCTGCCCGGGCTCAGCTCCCAGCTCCCCACCCTCACCAGAGCCCCAGGCCAGAGAGCAGGGCTTCTAACAAGCCGCTGGGTCTCCCCCTGCCCTTGTGCCTTTTCCAGTCCCATCTCTCCAAGTTCCATTGGACCTTCCCTCATTCAAAGGGCGCTTAAATAAGTGCAAGGTAATGTGAAGAGCAAATGGGCTAACCCTGTTGAGGCGCATGCTGAAGAGCCAGGAAACTGGACCCAGACTTTCCGGCCACACTATCCCCCACCCTTCACAGCTGGTCCAATAACCAGAAACCTTTACTTCCCTCCAAGAAACTGTGTCCAGAGTTCCACTCTTTTAACCCACAGAAATCTCTTCATACATTTAGAAGAAATTCATCAAGGTCCCTAATTTAGAATAATTTGGGGGAATTCAACCACATAGCATGGACTTACGATGTACCCATAGGCTTACCCACATGGACTGGAAGCAGACAGGACACATGGACAACTGGACAGAGAGTCACAGCATCTTAGGTTTAACAGCTTTTCTGTTGGGGACTAGGGGGAAGGAATAGGATTTTCAAATGACATTGCTCCTGAGTGTGGGGAGTGTAGACCCCCTGACAACATCCAAACCCTTTTGCAAGAGGGACTCAATGGTACCAAACACTGGGGTACAGAAAACCACATTTTCTTGGGAGTCCCCCAGATCTGATGTCCTAGTTACTATGAATTCCCCCCTCTATACATGCCTGCTCATCTATGATTAATCACTTCTCCTAATGAATGCTGGGAAGAAGCTGGACTTGGAGCAGAGACATGAGTCCAGTCCCATCAGCCACGAGTGCAGGTACACATTTGAGCAAGTCACCGGCCCGGTGCACAGGGTGGATAGCCTCGTGGGCCCAGGAAGGTGAAGGCTGGATGTATGTGTACATTCTCACAGCAGCGCCAAGACAAGCTAACGCTCCTGCTGGGCTTTGTGTGCACCTCTCCCTAGCACTGAGGGCCGGGAGAATTCCATGTCAAAGACAAACCTTTTCTACAGGAATTTTCTCCCACTCCGGTCTGAACAATGGTCAGTTTTCCTCTGTAAGGAGCAAGGATTACAGCACTGAAATGATCTTTATTTAGTTGGTCGGAAGCTGAACTTTCAAATTGAGGTAGAAAAAAAAAAATAAATTACAAGAAAAACTAAAAGTTGGTTCAAGGGGGAATGTTTTTATCTCTTTATTCTATTGCCTCTTCTTTCCAAACACCTAAGAGGTAGAAGGGAAACTGACTAGCAAATGCCTATCAATAATATGAAATGAAAAATAAATAAGTCTTTTCTCAGACTACCATACACATCTGATTTCTGGGTAAGTAGTGTCAGGCTAATGGCTGACATTATGAAGCAGCACCAATGGAGATCTCATCATGGAGAACTCCATCATCAGCCAACAGTTCTGCTGTGAGAAGCAGAGGATACTTATTTGTTCAGTGTATGAGGTTGCTTTAATAGATAGATTTCAAACTACCATGATTTTTAAAAATTATTTTTCATTGAAGTACAGTATGCCTACAGACAAGCAGACATGGTGAGTACTGGCTGAGATTTCATAGTGTGAACACACCTGCAGAAGTGTGCTCAGATCACGACACAGAATGCTACCAGTCATACTATTTTAGGACTCCCCACCCCACTAAATTGTAAGTTTCCTTAGGGCAAGAACTGAGTATCATTCTGTTTTAAAATATATTAATAGAAAATTTGAGGTATAGGAAGGCCAATGTATCAGGAGAAGACTGCCCCTGAGAGCTAGTTATTCACAGTTCTTAGGGGCACATCATGCTTTGGGGACCACATGGCGAAGCACTGGGAGTGGGAAACCATGGGCAAGAGCCTTCTGTGGCTTCCTCGGGAAGGAATGGCAAGGGAGGGAAAGTAGGCTTTAGATCAACTAAATGTGAATAATTTGGGTGGACACTGGGGCATAAAGGTATCCCTCATTGTCAGATACCTGGCCTTCATGATTGGGGCAGGTCAATGGTGACCCCAGAGTTTGGGGTGTGGATTTGTGTGAAAAGTCTACCAGCAGGTGAGTTGTTTACTATCTGTAGGAACTGGCTAGCCTTGGGAGGGGCAGTCCCTCCAGAGTCAGTGAAACCTGAGGTGGCAAAACATCAGCATACAGATAATAAATGACATGGTTAATATATATTCATCTTTCACACTCCAGAACCTAAAATAATGTGCTGTACATCATGGGCACTCAGTGAAAGGGGTAAGATGGAAGGAAAGAAAAGGGTTAGGACAAAAGGGACAGTGCACAGCGTGCTAGCTAGCTGGGCAACAAGAGGGCAGCCTTCAATAGCCCCACTTCCCACAAGCACTGACATGAATTGCCTACAACTCATATGAAGAGACTCTATTCAACTGCTCCTGGATTTATATTCAGAAAGTTGGGATGTCTCAGCAGTCTTTGTGAAGACTTCACTAGGAAACACGCTCCCCATTCAACATATGCACTTAGACTAGCTGTATAATTTGATCCTTGAACCATTCACCTTGAATTTCTGCTAGAATCGCACAACGATTCATGAAGGGATGTGCTCCAGTTATCCATTGCTGCGT